TGTTTTTCTTTCTCATTATTTTGTAAAGTTTATAGCCTCATTCTGACTATTTGTTACACTTGGGTTTCTAATTAATTATTTAATTAATTAGAGAGCATCAACTGTGTAACTGTATCATTTGAATTTTTATTTGAGATGTTATTTAACTCAATTTTTTACTTGTCCTCACTTAATTTAAGAAAAACTTTAAAATAGGATCTAAAGTTTAAGATCAAATCACTATAATTTTATTATATGCAGTATATGTTCTCTCTTTTTATAACAGTACTTCTCAAATATTTAGATTCAGGCTATTTTTATATTCTTAAAAATTATCAGGAACCCCAAAGAGTTGGCTTTTGTTTATTGAGTTATATCTATTGCTGTTTATCATATTAGCAATTAAAACTTTGAACACTTAAAAATATTTATTCATTTAGGAATAATAGTAGTGAATTTATTATCTATGAAAATAAGTGATATATTTTTATGAAAAATAATAAAACTTTTCGAAATAGAAATAAGTTAGCATTGCTTTACATGTTTACATATCTTTTAAATACCAGTAGAAGGCAGCTGGGCTCTCCTATCTGCTTCTGCATTCAATCTGTTGTGACATCACAGACCATTTAGCCTCTGGAAAATTTCACTGTATCTTCATGAAAGAATGAGAGAAAAAAATGGAAAATAATACATTATTTTGAGAATAGTTTTCCCTTGGTGACACCTGAAAGGGTCTTACAAATCCTAGGGTGTCCCTAAGCCCCACTTTGAGAATTACTGTTCTAAGATCATTGACAATTTTTAGACATCAGTATTTTAACTGGTTTTAGGGATGCTTCCAGTTCCTTTACAATAAGGCTTTACTGATACTGATCTCTTGATTCTGTTGCTGTAGTACATCATCACATAATTTGTCCCACACAGTGTCAGTAAAAATGGAGCATGGTGCTCTATAGGAACAAACAACTCCCAAATCTCAATAGGTCACCAGGCCTCTGCTCAGAGGACCCTCATCGTGGACTCTGTCTCTGGCTGAGGAGCAGCCACCCCATCTGAAATGACAGTCACTGTGGTAGAGGAACAGAGAGCATGCCTAACTAGGTGCTGGCTCTGAGCTTTTCTGCCAGAGTGATACCCATTGCTCCAAGGGAGATATAATCTTACCTTGGCCCAGAAGAAAAGAACATTGAAAAATGTGTGACCAACACAGAGGGTGAATGAACAGAATATTTTTTGAGTCCTTGTATATCTAAGTATTGATTGTGCCCTTATACATGAATAATTGAACAGGGTGTACATTTTTCAATTTTAATTATTTTTGCCCCATTCTCAAGAATTGGATGGGTGTACATTTTTCAGTAGTTTCCTTTTGCCTCTAGCTTTATAGGCTTGCATAATTATTTTAGACATTTAGGGTTTCAAATTTACTTGTTTTTCCCTTTAGGATTTTTCCCCATTTATGCATATTGTGGGAAATTATTCCCCCTTTATGTTATAACAAGTTTGGTTCAGTTTTTTTAAAATTTCACAATCATTTTTAATTTCCAAGGTCTCTGTCTTATTTTCTGGTTGTTTCTTTCCTGCATGGCATTTTTGGTACAATATATTCTCTTTCTATATTACTATATATATATATATATATATTTTTTTTTTTTTTTTTTGAGATGGAGTCTGCTCTGTCACCCAGGCTGGAGTGGAATGGTGCTCCAAAATAATATATTATTATGAGACTAGTTTTACCCTGGTGACACCACTTACTGCAACCTCCACCTCCTGGGTTCAAGTGATCCTCCTGCCTCAGCCTCCTTAGTAGCTGGGATTATAGGCGCACACCACCATGCCTGGCTAATTTTTGTATTTTTACCAAAATGGGGTTTTACCATGTTGGTCAGGCTGGTTTTGAACTCCTGACCTCCTGATGTGCCCACCTTTGCCTCCCAAAGTGCTGGGACCACAGGTGTGAGCCACCATACCCAGTAGATAATATTTGTTTTTCAGAAATTCTTTTTTGTTCCCTGAAACATCTCTATTTCTGCTAGGGTAATTTTTTGCCTTTTGCTTATCTTGGTTTTACTCCTTGATGTTGTAGCTTTCCCCAAATGCTTGTGGTCTGTTGTAGTCTGTTCATGCTTACCAGCAAGATGTTGAAAAGCAAACCTGGAACTCCATTTAATGGGATGGACTTGCAAACTTGTGGGCTTGGCTGAGGGAATACCGAATGCCTGAAGGTGAAAGCCTTTTCTCTGAGTCATCTATATTTTTCTTAAGAAGAAACCTCCAGGCTGGGCGTGGTGGCTCACACCTGTAATCCCAGCACTTTGGGGGGCCGAGGCAGGTGGATCACGAGGTCAGGAGTTCAAGACCAGACTGGCCACCATGGTGAAACCCCGTCTCTACTAAAAAATACAAGCAAATAAACAAAAACAACAACAACAACAAAAATTAACTGGGCATGGTGGCTTGTGCCTGTAATCCAAGCTACTTGGGAGGCTGAGGTAGGAGAATTGCTTGAACCGGGACCCAGGAGGCGGAGGGTGCAGTGAGCCGGTATCATGCCACTGCACTCCAGCCTGGGCTACAGAGAGAGACTCCATCTCAAAAAAAAAAGAAAAAAAAAAAAAGAAAAAAAAAAAAAGAAAAGAAACCTCCAGTCATCTGCCTGAGTTTGGGTGTTCTGTGTTGTAGAGCAAACTGTTTTTTCTCGATTTTCATCTCTGCATCTCCTTCTCAACTACCACTGCATCCCTCGGACACTGCAGGACACGCTGGATCCTTTTCTGACCTCAGGAAGCTTCCTCCATCTGTGATAGTGATGAGCACCCCCTCACCACTTTTCTCTTTCATACTTAGGTTTGAATTTCTCATCTAATTCCTTTCTCTTTGTCATTGTGACTTTAATTCCTTTACTATCATTTTAGGGGTTACTCTAGTGAGAGAGGAGAAAAACAGTTGTCATTAATCAACCATTTTAAACCAGAAGTAATTTTCTTTTTTAAAAGAATTGAATGGATAAATGATGCAGGTTTGAGGAATGGGAAATCTGAATGATTCTCTATTCTATCCTGATGCCTGTTTGAGGAATGGGACGTCCCAATGACCCTTTTATGGCGGGATAAAAGAAAAATCCTGTAAGTCTTCATACCATTTGGAAATATAGATAAAATTGTTAAGGCCTATTAGCAAGGAGAACGATTTAGCAGGTAAGAATCAGAACTACAGGCCAGGCACGGTAGCTCACGCCTGTAATCCCAGCACTTTGGGAGGCCTAGGTGGGTGAATCATGAGGTCAGGAGTTTGAGACCAGCCTGGCCAATATGGTGAAACCCTGTCTCTACTAAAAAAATACAAAAATTAGCTGGGCATGGTGGCGCATGCCTGTAGTCCCAGCTACTCAGGAGGTTGAGGCAGAAGCATCACTTGAATCCGGGAGACGGAGGTTGCAGTGAGCCAAGAATCACACCACTGCACTCACTGTGGGTGACAGAAAGAGACTCTGTCTCGTCTCAAAAAAAAAAAAAGAATCAGAACTACAAACTTTTGTGAGTTTAAAAATTAATTTCCCAGGCATAGCCTTAAAGTTTGAAATCCAGACACGTGCACACAAATGTTCATTGCAGCACTGTTTACAATAGCAAAGACCTGGAACCAACCCAAATGCCCATCGACAATAGACTGAATAGGGAAAATGTGGCACATATACACCATGGAATATTATGCAGCCATCAAAAATGATGAATTTGTGTCCTTTGTAGGGACATGGATGAACCTGGAAACCATCATTCTCAGCAAACTGACAGAAGAGCAGAAGATCAAATACTGCATGTTCTCACTCATAGGCGGGTGTTGAACAATGAGAACACATGGACACAGGGAGGGGAGCACTACACACCGGGGTCAGTTGTGGGGAAATAGGGGAGGGATGGTGGGGGATGGGGAGCTGGGGAGAGATAGCAAGGGGAGAGATGCCAGATGTAGGTGATGGGGAGGAAGGCAGCAAATCACACTGCCACGTGTGTACCTATGCAACAATCTTGCATGTTCTTCACATGTACCCCAAAACCTAAAATGCAACAAAATAAATAAATGGGGGAAAAAAAATAAAAAAATAAATAAAAGTTTGAAATCCAGAGGTCTCCATATATCACCTCTGTAGGCAAGTTTAGACAGATCAATGTATCCTAGTTTTGCATATTCACACAAGTCTCTGTGTTGGACCAGAGAAAGAATGATCTTCTTGTGACTACTCTTAATCAAACCTTACCAGATGAGAGTCTTTGAACCAATTTTATGATGCAGACTGCCACCCTCCCTCTGCAGTTACAGATGAAGGAGGTACATCTCCTTTACGTCTCCTAAGATTTCCTCTCTTTGTTGTTAACTAAGAAGACTTGCAGTTCAGGGTTAGGTTCTGTGATATCTCAGTCAGCTTTTTATTTCTTTCTCTGTAAGTTAAAGTTCTCCAGAGAAACAAAACCAATGGGATGTGTGTATACAGAGAAAGAGATTTGCTATAAGGAATTGGCTCTTGCAGTTATGAAGGCTGGCAAGTCCAAAATTTGTAGTGTGGGCCTGCTGGTTGGAGACCTAGGAGAGCTGATGGTGCAGTTCCAGTCTGAATGCAGCCTGCTAGAAGATTCTTTCTTTCTTGGGGACACTTGTCTTTTTGTTCTATTCAGGCCTTCGATGGGTTGGGCAAGCCCCATCTGCATGATGGAAGGCAATCTGCCCTACTTCAAATTCACCGATTTAAATAATCTTATCCAAAACACCCTCCAAGTCTCTTTATAATAGTTTGATTGGAGCAGTGTGAGACTTTTTACTTCTATGTACAGACCGTTCCTCTTTTCTACCTTGATTTTTTCCAAAAGAAATAAATTCCGTTTATTGTGGTTTCCCCACAAGAATGTCTGTTTTACACATGTTGGTTCTCCATTGACCATTCTTCATGTCTAAAATCTTCTAGCCACCACCTCTCAGAAACTCAGTGTCTATTTCCACATTTTATCTTTGTTTCTTAGGATGGTCACAGAGATCCAGAACGTAGAGGGTCAGAACCTGCAGGAGCAGGTTTTCCCTGAGCCCATCTTCAGGTTCTTCAGGGAACACAAGGTGGAGATTGCAAGTGCAATAACAAGGCCATTTCCTTTCCTTATGGGCCTCCGAGACCGCTCCTTCATCTCTGAGCAGATGTATGAGGTAAGTAAGAATTTCCAAATGATGGTAAACCGGGTCCACACTCAATTATGCCAAACTTTAAGATGCAATGAACAGGCTGAAGGACCTCCTGTGAGTGGGGACCTTCACCATCCTGCAAGTTAGGCGGTGACAGGAGAAGCAGGCATCACAGAAAACATCCGTTCTTCTGTAGTAAATGTTGGGGAGGGGTGTGGTCAGGGAGGTGGGGCAGGGCAGAGAATGAGAATGCTGTATGATCATCCTAGGTAACGTATACAATCTAATGGTAGCCAAAATTCAAGTACATAAGTGAGCTTGGCAGCATTCCATTACAAAACCTACTTAGTTGAAACACTTGAGCCTGAGATTTTTGAAACTCACAGGGAAGGTGTGTCATGTTAGGATACATTTGGAAGTGGATGCTTGCTACTCTCTCTCCAAATCATTGATTGATCTCTGGACATTCCTAGAGCCCCAGAAGGCAAGTAAATGTTAGCAGAGGATGCCCTTAGGGATACTGAGGACAAGCCTTCAGTTTGTCTTTGTGAATTTTCTGTGCCCTTTGGCCAGGAGTCACCTTAGGGGGCTGGTTGATTGGCTTCCTGGAGCGAGTCAGGCCAGGACAATCCTAGTAATGGTTATTATCCACACAACAGAATGGCCTCTCACGACTTAAGGCCACTCCTGAAGTAACCTGGCCAGGCTCTAAAGGCCCACAACACATCTCTCCTCTCAAGTGTACAACAATGTCAGGGAGTCAGGTTCAAAAAATTAGAGTATTTTCATGGTAGAGGACATTTAAGAAGTCATCCAAATATATGCAAAATTCTAACATTTCACAAGAGAACAGCTGTTCTATCTCCACAAATTTTTTATAACCCACAAATTTCTAACTACATAATTCTCCATTTAATATTTTTAAGCATTTTCAAGAAGCTTTTAGAAACCTGGTCCCAGTGGCAAGAGTGATGTACTGTGTACTCAGTGAACTGGAGAAGACGTTTGGCTGGTCACATCTGGAAGCGTTGTTCAGCAGGGTTAACCTGATGGCCTATCCTGATTTAAACGAGGTTTACAGAAGCTTCCAAAATGGTAACTATATTTCTCAACAATTTTGGGGGATTCAAGCCCATTTCTTTCATTGATTCATTCTTTCACTCTTCATTAATATTTGACAAATGTTTGATGAGAAACTATTACATGCCAAGCCCAGGGGGAGTATAATGATGAAAAACACACATGTCCTATGTCCTTATGGAGTTTGCTTATAATGGGAATCACAAACGTTAACCAAGTAATCCTGCAATTGGTTGCTCAGCCAGGACTTGACTTTGATGCTGTAAAACATAGGATTGAAGTCTCCATTTTTTTGAAGGAAGACATGCGTGATGCCTTTTCATAGGAAAGGAGGGAGCCCTCTTTGATACTTGCAGACATGTTCAAAGATAAAAAGATTTTCTTTGTATTAGAAAATTTATCATTCAGTGCAGTCCTGTGTCAACTTGTTTCTCCAAACTAAGAGTGGAGAAGTCATGAGGGAGCCCAGCACATACTGGTACACTGAGGAGGAGTGGCATGTGAAAGCTATGAAGACTGAAAAGCGGGTTGGTTGGGGGCTTTCAGAACCATGTGGTTGAATTGCAGAGTGTGGGAGAGAGGGTTTGGGAGCTGGTTCTGGAGAAAGAAGTTAGAGTGAATTCTGGAGGAATTGACACCCTGTGCTAAGGAATTTGGAGTCTATTTTTTGGAAAATAAAGAAGCAATAAGGGGCATTTAAATAGGGGAAAAGTAAAATAAGTCAGTATGAAGAATGAGTTGTGTTGATTTGTGAATACCATACCTTGATTCAAAAAAGAGCTATCTCACTTTTATATTATGATACATCCGAGTCAGAACAAGGTCTAGAGGAAATCAAACACTGTGCAGGCCTCCTTTAGTTTCTACAAGGGATTGGTTTCAGGAATACCCACCACCCTCAGTCCTGGATACTCAAGTTCCTTATATAAAATGGCATAGTTTTATTTGTATATAACTTACGCACATCCACCAGTATATTTTAAATCATCTCTAGATTACAGTACCTAATACAATGTAAATGCTATGTAAATAGTTGTTAAATTGTATTTTTCATTTAGTTATTTTTAATTTTTCTATTGTTATTTATTTATTTTTTGAGACGGAGTTCACTCTATCACCCAGGCTGAAGTGCAGTGGAGTGATATTGGCTACTGCAACCTCCACCTCCTGGGTTCAACTGATTTTCCTGCCTCAGCCTCCTGGGATTACAGTCACCTGCCATCACACCCAGCTAATTTTGTGTATTTTTGGTAGAGACTGGGTATCGCCATGTTGGTGAGGCTGGTCTTGAACCCCCAACCTCAGGTGATCTGCCCTCCTTGGCTTCCCCAAATGCTGGGATTATAGGCATGAGCCACTGTGCCTGGCCTGTTATTTTTTATTTTTAAACTTTTTCCCATATTTTTAATTGAAGTTAGGTGAATCCATGGATCCCCACCCCAACTGTACCTAGGCACAAATTTTGAGTCAATATTATATTTTAACTAGGGTGTTCCAGGCTGTGAGGATGAAGGGAATGATGTTATTTCTACTGCCCACATCTCAGGGGCTCTTATTTTGCCTGTGGACTGTGGGGATCCCGCTGGCCCCAACATCCACATCTCATAGGTTAGTTTCTGGCACTTCCTGTTTTTGGGTGACAGGCACCCGAGGCTCACCACTGCCCACTCCCTTGGACTATGAGTAGAAATGTGAGAAATGGGCAGAAATAGAATGAGTTGTAAAAAGATTGAAAAAGAGGTAAAAAAGAAAGGAAGAAAAAGAAAGAAACGGCCACTTCTGCTACACAACGTCCAGAAAAAATAATTCAAGTTGGATCACAAATCTAGAAATTAAGACTAAAAGTATAAAGCTTCTAGAAGAAAACATAAGACAGCGTCTTTGCAAACTGAGAGTAGGCAGTAATTTGTTATACGGAACGCAAAAAATATGGATCATAAAAGAAAAACTTGGTAAGTGAGATGTCACCAAATTAAAAACTACCCATCCAAAGTCACCATTAAGAAAAGGAAAAACAAGCCAAGACTGGGAGAAAATATTTGCAATATACATATCTAACAAAGGATTGTACTCACAATATATGAAGAACTCCTATAAATGAATAATAAAAAGACACACCACCAATTCAAAAAATAGACAAATGATTTGAACAAACACTTCAGGACAGGAGATATAAAATGTCCAACAAGAACAAAAAGTGTATGACATTATTAATCCTGAGGGAAATGCAAATTAAAGTCAGAGCGAGGTGTCATTCACTCACCAGAATTGCTGAAATTAAAAAGACTGACAATACCAAATGCTGATGAGAATATGGAGCAATTGGACCTCCCATCCCTTGCTGGTAGGAATGTAAAATGATAAATAACACTTTGGGAAAGTGCCTGGCAATTTCCTATAACGTTGAACCTAACCTATGAGCTTGGCAGTTTTACTCCTAGGTATTTACATGAGAGAACTGAAAATATGTTCACCCAAAGATTTGTATAAGAATGTTTATGGCAGCCTTATTCATAATAACTAAAATCTGGACCCAACACAAATGCTCAACAGGAGAGTAATAAACTATGACTAATTTATAGAGTATAATACTGTTAAGCAATAAAAAGGAGTGAACTGTTATCATGATGCAGCAACATGGATAAATCTCAAAAACATTACGTTGAGGAAAAGAAGCAAGTTGTAAGAGTATATACTACATGAACCTATTTGTGCCAGTACAGACAATACAGACAGGTACAGTGCCAGGAAGGAAGGAGCTATTGCTGGTGATAGAAACCAGAGCAGTCGTGTCTTAAGCACAAGGCAATTTTCTGTAATGGTGGAAATGTTCTGAATCTTGACTGGGATGTTGGTTTCACAATGATATACACTTAAGGTATGTGCATCTCAATGAAAAAGAGGGAAACAAGGCTCTGTTGGACCTCAGGGGCGGGAGATCCTGGGGCTTGAACATCAAGTTCAGCCTGAGCACTCTGAGGTCTCTCCTCTGGTCACTGTCTGAGTTTGGTAATTTTTACATTGTTTTCTTCAGCATGCTATGAACACCCACCTCGCCAAATGAACAATGTAAGCTGGTTAGAAGATAGACCCAGATTACTACTGTGTGGTAAACAAGGTGACTATCATTTAAATGATCAGTGCCCTTATTAAAGATTTGCTTCCTTGTCTTCATGGAGGCAAAGCTTGTATTTTGTCTCCTGTTTTAGCCCTCTGCTACCTCCCAGTCCTCCTCCCCTCACACAGCCATGTACCTGCCTTTACCTGCCAACAGATGTGAGAGAACCAATGAAAAAGGAGATCTGATCTCTTGAATAGATGGAGTCTCCATTGAGGGCAAATATAAAAAGAGAAAATGGGAAAGGTAGACGGAGGAGAATACATGACAAATTACCTGGATGGATTCCATCTTCTAAAGGAACATAAAATTCCTACCCTCCCAGGTTGAGATAAGGGGATTATTTTAAATTAATTTCATAGAAGTATTAAGAGAAACTCAGAAATAACCTAGGCCATATCAGATTCAGGTGAGAGATGTTCCTTACAGAGTTGGCCAGTTGGGAGTCCCTGGCACTGTGGTTGCAGTCTAAAAGAGGGGAGTTTTGGATATGGAGAGACAGGGGAGCCTGAAGGATAGAATTGCACAGGGAGACAACACTGAAATAGTGTTGGCAGACAGCAGACCAAGGTGAAATGGGAGAAACAGAAATGGAAAGGGAGGAAGTATAAGACACAGTAGAGAAAAGGTAAACTGAAAAATCTGCCAAGGATCAGAGGTAAAAATGGAGAGAGAAGTATATGGAAAAAGAATAATGAGAGGAAGATAAATACCAAGAAATGGGGGAAGTGGAGAGGCACAGAGGCAACTATATAGATGCAGAGTTAAGAAAAAAAGGGTGTAAAATCACTTGAGAGTGAAAGTGGATAAAAGGGAGAGAGAAACAGATTGGGCCAGTGAGGATTTGAGGTAACAGCACTAGGTATTAGCAACTTTACAAGGGTTGGCTCCATTAACCGTGAGTTTTCAGATTGAACCGTTCACATATCAAAGTGGCACTTGCAACATAATCAGATTGCAATAGGCCTCTCCCGGAGTAGCCCAATGATTCCCGAGCACAAATCTCCACTCTAAATTATCTTTAGAGTACATTTATTCATGAACCCAAGGACCTTTACTCATGGGTCCAATGGACATCCACACTTGAATTTTTTCAAGAACCTTAAACTTGGTACTTTGAGAACTGAAAGCAACATCTTCATTGCTCAAATTAGATCTAACTCCTCCGCAGCACTCTTTCTCTCAGAGATGGATCACTACCGTCCCATGGTTTTTTAAGTTGGAAACCTAGTCATGTCATCATGGATGACTCCTCTCTCGCCCTCAAATACATGCCAGTTATGCACCCAACATAATCATTTCACCTTTGGGTTGCCTCCGGCCTGTCCATCTTTGCATCTCCAAGACCAGGTCTCTGGTCCAGATCTCCATCACTCTCATGGTTCTCAGGACAACATCCTTTGCTCGTCGCCTCCCTCTAATCTTGCTTCTATCAAATGTGTTATTTGCACTTCAACTAGATGGGATATTTAAAAATGCACATTAGATTGTATCATTTTCCTACTTACCTCCTTAATACACTAAGAAGTAAATAAATGGGTTTTTAAGTAGCATCCAAGGGCATTCACAATGAGCCACCTGCCTGAAATATTACTTCAAGATAGAATAAAATTTCCCCCAATAATTCCAATTATTAAATCTTTATTTCAAACTGAGCCTTTCCCTATGTTTTCTCCATAATGCCTTTGGAATTGTTTTCCTGTCCCACTGTCTTCCATTTACCCTTCTCCAGTCCAGCTAAGTCCTGTTTAGAATATATTATCAAAGGGAGGTCTTTCTTTAGAGAGAGCTAGAAGGGCACAATTGAGAGACCAAGGATGGGTGAGAAAGAGTGGTATCAGAGAAAGCAAGAGAAAAATCTGCAGGAGCAGAGAAGAGAGAAATGCAGCTGGGAAACAGAGGCTCCAAGAAACACCAGTTGAAAAAAATAGAGGCAGAGATTGAGGAAATGGACAGCAGCAAATGGAAAGACACGAGTGAGAAAATGTGAAAGAGAACAAGGTATAAGAAAAGGAAGATTTCCTCACAATGGGTGAATTATTTTCAGCCTCTGGTGAAGGTTACTGAAGGACTTTATCCTCGGGTCAGGTTTTTTGGGGAGTAGGGACCTCCCAGTTTATCAGGCTTTCTTAGTTTTCTCATTATTTATTTTCTTGTTTTGATGCCTTCTTGACCATAAATCAAGATATCTGAGGGATCTTATTCCTTTCTGCAGAGAACAGCAATGCCTGTCATGAAATGTGTGATGTAGCAGTGCCTCAGGAAGCCTTGAGCTTCTCGCCAAGGTGTGGGCCAGGTAAGGAGGGGAAGACTTGCTCTCCCTAACCTGCTGGGTGTCAGGAAGTGGAATTCAGAGCTGGTGTTTCCTGCAGCATTTTACTCTGAGCACATTCCACAGTCAAAAGATCCATTTTTTCCTGGGATCCTACAATTCTGCTAAATGTTCCTAAATGTATGTTATAGTAGAAATATGCCAGAGAAAGCCGTCTTTCGTGTCTACTAACAATGAAAACTTGATCAAACCTACCCCCTATTTATTTTCTCTAGAGAATAAAACTATTACTGTTACTATTATTATTTTGTCCTTTACTATAGAAGGCCTTCAAAAGAAACATGTTCCATCAGACCAACTACTTGAAAAACTAAATGATAATTTTTGCCAATTATTTTCCATTGTGTTACTGTCTTACATAGTGATTGTTCAAAGAACTTTGGTAAACAAGATGCCATTTTATCTCCACAGCTTATGAATTTAGATGGATAAACTTTTGCTTATTTCTATTTTAAAGCTAAATAAAGTAGAAGGAGAAACATAGAAACGTGTAAGATCTTTTACCAGGTCAAATTAGTCAAACAAGAACATGACCCACATTCCTGCTGACTCACTGCGGTGATGGTTGTGTGAGGTAGCCAGAGGGTTAGGGATAGGCATTCACACAGGAGACCCAAGGAGGCCTGCAGGTTCCCAGGGGAGCAACAGAAAAGAAAAAGAGAGGGAATCCTGGGAGTCAAGGAAATGGACAGTGCTTCATGGTGTAGAAGCAAGAGTATGTGGTGACCAAAAAATGAGAAGGAGAAAGGAGGTAGCAGAGAGATGAACAGGAGGAAAACAGGCAGAGGAAGGCTCTGGTGGGACTTGGGAGAGGTTTTTGGAGCAACGGTGTTGTTTTTTCCAAGGAGAAGCTTCACCTGAGTGCTGAACACCAGAATTCAGCAAGAACGTCTTCACATCTGTGCTCTCATCATTGCGTCTTGTTTATTTTCAGGTTTCTCTTCAGAGTCTCATGAGCAATTAGCTCTTCCAAGGGCTGATGGAGGAGATGCTGAAAATGCACCCAGCCTGCTACCAGGTGGGGGAAGTAATTATGATTTAAATGACCAATTACCTCTTAAAATTAGTTGGCTTATCTCTATGCAAGCAACACTTCCCGTCCTTCTCTCTCCACTACCACCCCTCTAATACACTTTTGTTCAGGCTATGGTTGTTTTCCCCATGTGTGTGGAAGGCAAGAAGTAAACAAAAGCTAAGTCCTTTAGTGGAGGGGCTCCTGGGTTGAGAGCTTAAGGGTACAGAGTAACACAGATTACTTTGATTGGAGGCACCAAGTGGTGTTGCTTAAGTGGGCCCAATTTTATCTAAAGGAATATGGAATCTAAATCCGACCAGGATGGGGTTTGAGAAAAGAGAGATAATTTTAAACTTACTTTCCAGGGATTGTTTAGGAATAATGAAATACTGTGTATAGAAGGGACAAAGTACAAGTGACAAAGTTAGAAGAATAAATAAGGATATAATGTGGCAAAGAGGTGACAAACATCATGAAGGAAGAAAGAGACAGAAATGCAAAGAAATGGTAGAAGTCAGGGAGAAGAAGTCAAGTCAAAAAAATCCAGGGGTTGGTTTATGGTGCAGATGTAGCAATGTGTAAAGACAGGGTTAGAGGGAGAAAAAAGAGGAGAGAGAGGCAGAGAGGGGAAAGGGGCCTGACAAGGTGCTAAAAGAAGTGGAGCCACTCTTGTTTGGTGCAAAGATACCTTTACTCCCAGGAAGCAGTTCTACACCTGAACATTAGAGCTCAGCATGGCCACATCCAGGTAGGTGTCCAGGTCACCGTCAATTGTCTGTCATGTTTTTCTTTCGCTCTGCAGTGTGCTGTGAACATGCTATACAAGTAGATGAAGGAGAATCAGAAGAAATGCCCCAGTTACTGCCTTATGATGCAGAAGGTAATCAGGATTTAAATTAAAGCTTTATTTTTCTGTCAACACACAAAAACACCTACTCTTTCATTTCCCTTCCCATTCCCCCATCTATTCATATATTCATCCATATATCCATCTATTCATCCATCCATCTATCCATCCATCCATCCATATATCCATCCATCCATCCATATATCATCCATCCATCCATCTATCCATCTGTATATCCATACATTCATATATCCATCCATCTATTCATATATTCATCCATCCATGCATCCATATATCCATCCATCCCTCCATGCATCCATATATCCATCCATCCATCCATGCATCCATATATCCATCCATCCATCCATCCATGCATCCTTCCCCACATACTGACTATGCCCAGCTTCTACCTGCTTTTCTTGAGAGACACGAGTAGCAAAGGAAGAATAAGCTCAGACTGGTTGGAGTTTTCCTGGACACAGGACATAGGGAAAGGGGGAGAAAGGAAAGTATAGATTGAAGCATTAAATGAAGTAAGATCTGAGTGACTGCCAGTTTTACCGAAATAGATGTGGAATCCAAATATTACCATGTTGGGTAATATTTGGGTAATAATACCACTTTGAGTTATAAGGAAGGAGAGATAATTTTAAACTTATTTCTTGAGGTTATGCCAAGAGCATGGATATAATGAGTATACTGCAATACAGAAAACTCAGTGAAAGACTGTTGAAATGAACTTCACAAAAGGAAGAGTCCCTGTCCCCCCCGCCTTTTAAATATATGTTTTATTGCACTTTAGGTTCTGGGGTACATGTATAAAACATGCAGGATTGTTGCATAGGTACATATATGGCAATGTGGTTTGCTGCCTCCATCCCCCTGTCACCTATATCTGGCATTTCTCCCCATATTATTGCTCCCCAACCTCTATCTCCCACTGTCCCTCCCCTAGTCCCGCCTGCCCAACAAACCCCGGTGTGTGATGCTCCCCTCCCTGTGTCCCTGTGTTCTTATTGTTCAACACCCACCTGTGAGTGAGAACATGTGGTGTTTGTTTTTCTGTTCTTGTGTCAGTTTGCTGAGAATGATGGTTTCCAGATTCATCCATGTCCCTATAAAGGGCACGAACTCATTGTTTTTTATGGCTGCATAGTATTCCATGGTGTATATGTGCCACATTTTCCTTGTCCGGTCTATCATTGATGCCCTTTCCCTTCGTTAATAGCAAAAGATGAGACCTTTGATGGTATGGGAGAAGAATAAGATAAATTTTTAGATTTAAATTTTGAATAGAAAAATTAGGAACAGAAAGCTAACTAGAGAGAACAGATAGAGGCATGGAAATGAGCACCATGGAGGAAAGGAGATAAGCTTGATTATTAAACAAGGTACAGGATTTAAAATGTGAAGAAAATATTATGAGAGGAGCAGAGAGAAGAAAAATGCTAGAAAGCAGAGACAGTGGAGGAGAGACAGAAAAGTTATACACAGAGAAAAAGATAGAGTAAGTGAAAAGTTAGCAGAGAGTAAAAACTGCTTGAAAGGGATAGGGAACAATATGGAACATTATAGGGATTCAGGCAAGATTCACGAGACAGAAATAACTCCTGGCCCAAGAATGGAACATGTTAGCAGTGAGTTTTAGCTTATGATGTCCCCAACCTATCAAAATGGCACCTGTAATGTCCTCAGAGGCAGTTGACTTCCCCCCAGGGTTTCATGTCCCTCCCATCTGTACCTTAATGATTTCAAAACACATATGTCCAGATTTATCTTCTAAGTTCATTCATCTGAGTACCTAAACATGTTCATGAAGATATATTTGAAAGACCCCTCCATTTGGATGTTTTTCGGGAACCTCAGTACAACTCTAAGATTGTACATACCATCTTTCCTGACATCAGATCTGACCCCTCTCTCACTGTTCCCTATCTCAGGATGAAACACTGTTACTACATTTTTCAAGCAGAAACCAAGGAGCCATTAATGACTCTCCCCACCTCCCTCAACTTAAATACCCCATCAACCATCCAGTTGACTTTTAGTGAGTTCACATATCTCACCTGTCCATTTCCTTCCACCGTAACACAAAAACTCTGGTCAGATTTCTTGGACTGGAGCAGCAGCCTCCAGACTCACATCCTTCCTCTGATCTTGTACCTCTCACACCCATTCATTCCAACTCAAACAACTCTTTCAAAAATGGAAGTTGGAGTCAGGTGAGGCGGCTCACGCCTGTAATCCCAGCACTTTGGGAGGCCAAGGTGGGTGAATCACCAGGTCAGGAGATTGAGACCATCCTGGCCAACATGGTGAAACGCTGTCTGTACTAAAAATGCAAAAATTAGCTGGGTGTGGTGTGTGCCTGTAATCCCACCTACTCAGTAGGCTGAGGCAGGAGAATTACCTTAATCTGGGAGGTGTAGATTGCAGTGAGCCAAGATGGTGCCACTGTACTCTAGCGTGGCCACAGAGGGAGACTCCGTCTTACAAAAAAAAAAAAAAAAAAAAGGAAATTGGCTTGTCTTACACTTCTACCTTAAATCAATAACTACTTGGGGTCATAAGGATTAAATCTAGCTTTCTTCCCAGGGAAGAAATCCATCTTTATGTCTGCCTCAAGGTTTACATACAAATTTTCTAGTCACTTTCATTTTCTGATGACTTTCTCATCTGAGCCTTCACAAAGTCTTAGACCTCTGCTATGAAAAGTCATCTTGTTCCACTACACTCTCCATCATGCTCACTAGTTGAGTGAAATAATGTGGAAATTACATACACTGTCAGAGATGCCTTTTCTGATCCCTAGTTCAGGGGTGATAGATGGGGCAAGGACATAAAGCAAAGCACCAGGGAAGAAAGAGGGAGGTAAGAACAGTCCCAGAGAAAGAAACGAAGACAAAGATAAGCACCAAGAAAGAGAGATCAACAGCAAAAGACAGGTAGAAACAGAAGAAACAGAGACGTGTCAAGGTGAAAATGAGGTTGCCATCATGGGGTGGGAGACCAGGTGGGCAAGATTTCTGTCACATTACTGGATTATACAGGAGCTCCTATTACCCTCGCAAGGTCTTTTTTTTTGAGAGTCTAACTCTGTTGCCAGGTGCAAGGCTGGAGTGCAGTGGTGCGATCTTGGCTCACTGCAACCTCCGCCTCCTGGGTTTAAGCAATTCTTCTGGCTCAGCCTCCCGAGTAGCTGAGACTACAGGCATGCACCACTAATTTTTGTATTAGCACACCCAGCTAATTTTTGTATTTTTAATAGAGACAGGGTTTCACCATTTTGGCCAGGATGGTCTCGATCTCTTGACCTCGTGATCCGCCCGCCTCGGCCTCCCAAAGTGCTCGGATTACAGGCGTGAGCTACCACGCCCAGCCCCTCACAAGGTCTTAAACATTGGTATGCAAACAGCTGAACCTCTATTTTAGACTGGGAAATAAAGCACAGAAATGCAAGCAGGATATTTTCACAAAGGCAAAGTAGAAAAGGAAGAGTGGGATCAGTGTCCTGCGTGTGTCACTGGGTGATGCTTGTGCAAGGCCAGCTGGGGGTCAGAGCAGGGTCACCGGGTCAGAATAGGGTCACAGGGTCAGAACGGAAAGAAGCCCAAGGAGATCTGCAGGTTCCTGGAGGAGAGAACCAGGGACCAATATAAGGCTTTAAGAAAAAAAAGTTCCCACTGGGAGGGAAGGGAAATCATGGAAAGACAGCATAGAAATAGAGCCTGCTCTTTGGATTAGGAGGGATCTAGAATAAGAGCTAAATAAATAATACAAAAAGAATATAATATCACTGAAGAAGAAAAAAGTCATAGAAACAGGAGGCAGGAGGAGCCAGTTGGAGAGAAGACCAGACAATCCAAGAGCTGCCAGGGAACTGTGTGGAGGCAGAACTGTGGGGAGGACACTGAGAATTAGAAGGAGAAAGAGGAGATGCAACAAGATGGAGAAATGGCGGAAGCAGATGGAGGTGGCTGTCAGCGTTTTCCCATCTTGGATGGCAGGAACATACTGAGGTCTGTATCCAAGTCACCCTCTGTTGTCTGTCAATTTCTTGTTTCTCTGCGGAGAACTTTGATCTAAACACTCCCCAAATCACTAATGAAGGAGAACCAGAGAAGGGGCTCAGTCTACTACCAGGTGAAGGAGAAGGTAATTCTGATTTAAGATTTAGATATTTCAGAACATCTTTGTTTTCTAGTTGGTAGGGAATAAAATTCTCTTCTTCACATTTGCATACATATAGATGGAATTATGTCAATTTTCTGTTGAGCCTTTTTGAAACTGTGAAAGAGACAAAGGATCATGGTGAGCTGAGCCCCTGAGTAGGAACCATATCTCTGCATGGGGAATGTAGGCAGACAGAATATGCCAGAGGTAGGCTGGGGGAACCAGATAAGAAGTGCCTCAGTGACATTATTACACATTAAACCTAAATATCAGCAGGTTATGGCAACTGAGTCAGGGGAGAATGTTTTCAGCCTACCTCCAGAAGGATCTGGAGCACGGACATGTTTTGTGAATGACTGAAGTCTTGCAACTGAGAAAAGTCATGTGGGAGACCCTTAAGATGCAGCTGACAAGGGAAGGATCTGTGGTGCCATCGTCCCTGCGTAAACAGAAAAACTTTTCCAACCTGGGAGAAGAGAACTTTGAGAATGGGGAAAGTATATGAAATAATGGAGATTTTACCAGCATCCAGAAACATAAGATGACACCCAAAGGAATGGACAGAAAAGGAGAAAATAGAAGGCACATAGAAAGGAGATAACCTCAAGGAGAAAAATTAAAGAAAATTATACAAATGGCAGCAAACATAATAATAACAGCAACATGGGAAGGAAACACACAGGAAACTATGCAGAGAAAGAGACAGAGAGTGAAAACCATTGTCCAAGGAAAAGAGCAGGGCCAGGGCCTGTGGAGAAGTCAGAGTCACTAGGTAGAAGCAGCTTACAGCAAAGGACACCTCTGTCAATAGTGAGTTCTCCGATCCAGGTCCCCCTAGGTAGAGAGTGGGATGGAAGCATACTCCGAGGGTAAGAATATTCTTTCCCCAGTCTCATCTGCTTAGGTAGTAGAATGATTCTCATGTACATGTCTGCTAGGCAGACCTACCTTCCAAGCCCTTCCATTCATGTGCCTGAAGACATTTATCCCAGGAATCTGTCCACTGTAATGTCTGTCAGGAACAGAACACATCCTAAATGGAAACCAATACCTCCACTGAACCTAGAAACTCCCCCTTCTTCAGGATTACCTCTCTCAGTAAAGGGATGAATGTCCTATTTGCTCTTGCAATAATCAGGCTCATTTTTTTCTGCTTTAGCACAATTGTTATTTGCAAGATATCAATCAGATCATTTTCCTTTCTCGTTAGACATGGTGATCTTTGTTGCACAGGATTAGATGAGTTATCCTTCCTGTGGACTTCTGTGGCTTCCACCCATCATGGACCCCAGCCCATATAATCATCTCTACTAATGGCATCAATTGTCTCGAGAGCTGCAATGATCTGATCTTTCTTTTCTGTGTGGGCTCCTGAGCCATGCTTCCCTATACTATGTGGTGTTGCCTTGGCTCTCTCTGCTCCTGATCCCCTTCCTTATCTGGTTCATTCCCCTTATTCTAGGGATGCCTTTCCTGGTGCCCAGTATGAGAAAGGGGGTAAACAAGGAAATAAAGGAGATGAGGAAAAGTAGTAAAGAGCAGAGTCAGGGGTGCCAGAGAAAAAGACAGGAGCAGAGAAGGGGACAGAAACACATGGAAACAAAGAGAAGCACCTGGAGCCACTGGCCGCAGGAAACCAGGGCAGAGACAGAGGAAATGTGCAGAGGAAAGGGGGAGGGGGAGAAGGAGAGAGCGAGGAGTCCAGGGAGGAAGTGAGATGGTGGATGCTTCTCAGACTTAGGGACAGCACTGGAGTGCGTCTGCCTACAGGCCACAAGGCACCCACCCACAGGGCAGACCAGGAGGGCCTGGGCTGGTGGCAGCCCCACCTAGGAGATACTTCAGTTTCCCATATCTTCACTAAATTTTCTCTTCATGGTTTCTTGTTGGTTTTATACTGAGACCTCTGAGGGATTTTATTCCTTTCTGCAGAGGGCAGCGATGACTGTTCGGAAATGTGTGTTGGAGAAGAGCCCCAGGAACCCTCCAGCTCCCTAGCAAGATGTGGGTCAGGTAAGGAAGGAGAGGATTTCTGGCCCTGGGCTGCAGAGTCTCAGGAGTTTGAATTTGAAGCTTGTGTTTCCTGATTGATTTTCCTTTGCGTATACCTCACAATGAAAGGCTCAATTAATCCTAAGATTTTTCACATTTTCAGTACATGGATCTTTTGGGAAATGTAGGGAGGAATCTTTATACACAAGTTCGTGTTTAGCAGAATGGGTTTTATTGTTTGAACATATGTGTTCAGACATTCAAGTGGTAGTCGAAATATGACATGGCAACGCAATGTGTTTTCTCCTTTATATTCTCATGCCTTTTAATACTACACTACTAAAATATTTTACCAAATAAGATCTGATACCCTCACAAAACCTTAAGATGTGGGCAGGCAAATGGGGCAATCCTATTATGCAGATGAGGAAGCAAAAGTCAGAAATATGCTAGGAGGAAGCCATGCTCTTTTGCCTTTATTTTTTATAGCTATCAATACTAATATTTGAATTCATATAAAATTTTGATTCTTACTCCTTCTGTGGAAATAAAAAAGGATATCTTTCCTCTGCTGGTAGATACTTTTTATCTTTTTTTCACAAACTTGACAAAACCTCTTCAGAGAAATGGTATTCTACCATCTAATTGGCAGAATTCAGATCAGCTATTTATGGAGCTAAATGCTATTTTTGACCAGTACTATCCATTATGTCATTGGATCATGCAGTGTATTTTCAGAGTACTCTGATAAGTTTTATACTTTTACTCGCGAAAACCTCAAAACTTAGATAGGGAAGGGGCTGTTACTGTGTTTTCGGGAGCCAGAAACACAGACATGCGTGTGACATGCGTGTTTGAGAAGACCCAAGAAAAAAGCAAGAGCAGAGACCGGTGTTCTGGATGACTCCTTGCAGGCTGCCAGTTCTGTGAGGCTGGCATTGGTTGGGGTGGGGTCCCATAGTCTGAGTCCCGTGTGGAAGCCCAAAGGGATTTTAGGACTCCAATAGACTCTACCAGGGTTCAACGGAAAGATACTTTTATTTAACAAATAAAGAAAGATTAGGGAGAGGAAACATTATCAAGAGTTGGAAAATACTTGAATGTAATCTACAATATGAGATAGGAGATATCCAAAAAAAAAACAAAAACAAAAATAGAGCCAGAAAACGGAAACAGAGAGGCGATATGAAAAGCATATGTAGCACATCACTGAAGGAGAAAGACAGATAGTAAGGGAGGGGAGATGTTAAGAAGAAAAAGTCCAGAAAGCTGAAGAGAACTACCGAAGCCTCCATAGGGTAACAGTGAAAAAGTATCACTAGTAGAAGGGGCTACCACTTAGGCTGGGCACGGTGGCTCATGCCTGTAATCCCAGCACTTTGGGAGGCTGAGGCAGGTGGATCACTTGAGGTCAGGATTCGAGGCCAGCCTGGCCAACATGGTAAAACCCCATCTCTATTACAAATACAGAAATTAGCTGGGTGTGGTCACGCACACCTGTAGTTCCAGTTACTCAGGAGGCTGAAACAAGAGAACTGCTTGAACCTGGGATGTGGAGGTTGCAATCAGCCAAGATCACGCCACTGCACTTCAGCCTGGTGACAGAGCAAGACTCCATCTCAGAAGAAAAAAAAAAAAAAAAAAAGAAAGGCTACTACTTAATAGCAAACAAAAGGCTGAATTTATTGTTCAATTAAGGGACAGTTGTGCTTGTGGGCCACTGTTTCTCTGAACAGAGAATATTTGTGCAAGTGTGGAACTCAGTGATTGGCAGCCTTCAGAAGTGAGATTTGTTAGTGGTTAGTTGACCTTTAGTGAAAGCAGGGTCACTGGAGTGTGGCTGTCACTGATTGGGTGAGTTTCAGAAGCATGGGGAAGTGAATAGTTTGCTGCTTTTCAGAGGCCAGCTGTGTCCTGGCCAGAAGCTATTGTTGATTAATTGGGACAATTCTGGTTGTTATTGTCCATATGGCTAAACAATAATGAGTTTTCCTAGAAGTGTAGGAACTTCCATTCTCAGTCTCCCCTGCAGGAAATCTCTCATCTAAAGCTGCAGGACGCACCATCAAGCATTGTCCCCATCCAAGATGTCTTTTCTGGAAGAGAACACAGGAAACGGAATCCTAGGATGCTCCTTCATTGAGTAGGCACTATAGAGTTGCTGGATTGAGAGTTTTATCCTAGTGGAGGATGATATAAGAAAAAGTAATGATGTTTAATAATATGTTGATTGAATGATGGACAACTGTGAAATGTTTTTAATTAGCAATAGAATTGTGTTGCTTACAATACTATCATATTTAATTCCCGTTTGCCACAATAATACTTGCCAGATGCATTTGTGGCTGCAGCATTTATGCCAAGTAACTTTGCATGAAGTAGCTCACTTTTATTATGACTTTGGAAACAAAAGACATTCTTCTAATTATAGCGTTCTGGTTTTAGTAGTGGTATTTCCATTTACAAAATATAGTAATTCTTGATCACTGAAAATGTCAAATCCTGAAAAACATAGCTTTCCCACATGTGCTGTTAACATTGTTCTTGAACAATTGTTGGCTGAAGATTCATTTGATGAGTTATATATTTTTAAAATAGATGATTTTGATATTAGTTCTGTTTAGAAATAACTCCAAGAATAGTTTATATATTTTATTTTCACATTGAAAATCAATCATGTTTGCTTTAGCCTCAAAGAATGTGTCTATGTGAAATTGAGCACTTTTTTTTTTTTTTCTAAATGGGAATAGAGTTCAGGATGATTCAAGTACAAAATCTCCAGAAGCATGGACTAATGCAGTTACCTGCAGTTGCTTTGAGGCAACTAGGATGAGCTGTGGCTACTAGCAATGGCCCTTTGATGTCTGTCATGTTTTGAAGTGATACCCGTAGAGCATGGCCTGTTTATTTATTTTTATTTTTTCATAAGTTATTAGGGTACAAGTGGTATTTGGTTACATGGGTAAGTTCTTTAGCAGTGATTTGTGAGATTTTGGTTCACCCATAACGTGAGCAGTATGCACTGCACCATATTTATAGTCTTCTATCCCTTGGCTCCCTCCCACTCTTCCCCCCAAGTCCCCAAAGACCATTGCATCATTCTTATGCCTTTGTGTCCTCATAGCTTAGCTCCCACATATCAGTGAGACTATACGATGTTTGGTTTTCCATTCCCGAGTTACTTCACTTAGAATGATAGTCTCCAGGCCAGGTGCAGTGGCTGATGCCTGTAATCTCAGCATTTTTGGAGGCCGAGGTGGATGGACACCTGAGTTCAAGGGTTTGAGACAAGCCTGGCCAACATGGCGAAATCCCACCTCTACTAAAAAAAAAAAAAAAAAAAAAAATTAGCCAGGTGTGGTGGCACATGCCTGTAATCCCAGCTACTGGTGGGGGCTAAGGCAGGAGAATTGCTTGAACCTGGGAGGCAGAGGTTGCAGTGAGCCAAGATCATGCCAGTGCACTCCAGCCTGGGTGACAGAGTGAGACTCCGTCTCAAAAAAAAAAAAGTCTCCGCAAATGCTGTTTATTCCTTTTCAGGTCTGCATAGTATTATGTGTCATATATATCTTTATCCAGTTTCTTTATCCACTCATTGATTGATGGGCATTTGAGTTGGTTCTACAATGTTGCAATTATGAATTGTGCTGCTGTAAACATGCATGTACAAGTATCTTTTTCGGATAATGACTTCTTTTCCTCTGGGTAGATACCCAGTAGTGGGATTGCTAGATCAAATAGTAGTTCTACTTTTAGTTCTTTAAGGGATCTCCACACTGTTTTCCATAGTGGCTATACTAGTTTGCATTCCCACTAGCAATGTAGAAGTGTTCCCTGTTCACTGCATCCACGCCAACATCTACTGTGTGGTTTTGATTTGCATTTCCCTTATCATTACTGATGTTGAGCATTTTTTCATATGTTCATTGGCCATTCGTATATCTTCTTTTGAGAATTATCTATTCATGTCCTTAGCCCACTTTTTGATGAGGTTATTTGTTTTTTTCTTACTGATTTGTTTGAGTTCATTGTAAATTCTGGATATTAGTCTTTTGTCAGACATATAGATTGTGAAGATTTTCTCCCACTCTATGGGTTGTCTCTTTACTCTGCCGACTGTTCCTTTTGCCATCCGAAAGCTCTTAGGTTTAGTTAAGTCCCAGCTATTTATCTTTGTTTTTCTTGCATTTGCTTTTGGGTTCTTAGTCATGAAAACCTTGCCTAACCCAATGTATACAAGGATTTCTTTGATGTTATCTTCTATAATTTTTATAGTTTCAGGTCTTAGATTTAAGTCCTAGATCCATCTTGAGTTGATTTTTGTATAAGGTGAGAGATGAGTATCCAGTTTCATTCTCCTACATGTGGCTTGCCAATTATTCCAGCATCATTTGTTGAATAGGGTGTCCTTTCCCCACTTTATGTTTTATTTGCTTTGTCAAAGATCAGTTGGCTGTAAGTATTGGGTTTATTTCTGGGTTCTCTATTCTGTTCCATTGGTCTATGTGCCTATTTTTGTACCAGTATTACACTGTTTTGGTGACTATGGCCTTATAGTATAGTTTGAAATCAGGTAGTATAAAGCCTCTAGATTTCTTTTTGCTTAGTCTTGCTTTGTCTATGTGGGCTCTTTTTTGGTTACATATGAATTTTAGAATTGTTTTTTCTAATTTTGTGAAGAAGATGGTGGTATTTTGGTGGGGGTTGCATTGAATTTGTGATTGCTTTTGGCAGTATGATTTTCACAATATTGAGTCTACCCATACATGAACATGGGATGTATTTCCATTTTTTTCATGTCATTTGTGATTTCTTTCAGGAGTGTTTGATGGTTTTCCTTGTAGAGGTTTTCAACTCCTTCGTTAGGTGTATTCCTAAGTATTTTATTTTTTGCAGCTATTGTAAAATAGATTGAATTCTTGATTTCATTCTCCACTTGGTCACTGTTGGTGTGTAGAAGGGCCACTGATTTTTGTACATTAATCTTGTATCCAGAAACTTTGCTGAATTCTTTTGTAAGT